CCCAAATAAATCCGTTTTATTCAGTATAAAGCTTATACAGGGTAAACTCAAATTGTCCACCCTCTATAACACTGATAGAGAGATATGCACAGCTGTTTGTTCCCCCAGGTATTAATCACTTATTCTGGGTTCAATAATAAACAAAAGTGATTTTATTAAGAATAAAAAGTAGGATTTAAGTGGTTCCAAGTAATAACAGACAGAACAAAGTCAGTCACCAAGTAAAATAAAACAAAACACGCAAGTCTAAGCCTAATACATTAAGAAACTGAATACAGGTAAATCTCACCCTCAGAGATGTTCCAATAAGCTTCTTTCACAGACTAGACTCCTTCTTAGTCTGGGCCCAATCCTTTCCCCGGTACAGTTCTTGTTAGTTCCAGCAGGCATCTTAGGTGAAAAGCAGGGGATTCCACATGACTGGGACCCGTTTGTTCTGTTCCACTCCCTTTTATAGCTTTGGCACAAGGCGGGAATCTTTTGTTTCTCTCTAGGTTCCCTCCCTCCTTCTAAATGGAAAAGCACCAGGTTAAAGATGGATTCCAGTATCATGTGACCTGTTCACATGTCCTGTGAGACTTCATTACCCATTCACTGGTACACAGGTATACAGGAAGGCTTACAAGTAAACAGAGTCATCTACAACCAATTGTCTTAGTTAATGGGGGCCATCAAGATTCCAAACCACCATTAATGACCCACACTTTGCATAACTACAATAGGACCTCAGAATTATATTTCATCTTCCTAATTTCAGATACAAGAATGATACATTCATACAAACAGGATGAACACACTCAGTGGATTATATGCTTTGTAATGATACTTTACAAGAGACATTTTGCATAAAGCCTATTCCAGTTACATCAGATTTACACTTATAAACATATTTCCATAAACATATGGAGTGCAATGTCACACCCTCCTCCTGAACTTACTGCCGGAGTCTTGGACACTGTCCATGGCGGAGGCAGTACATGTAAAATCCCTGTTTATCTCTGGTCACACCCCCTTCCAATACCCTTAAACCTTATGATGTCATTCATAGGTGTCCTAGCAAAGTTCTGTGTTCCTGGTCCCTGGGTGGCTGAAAACATGTTGGGGTGCAGTATTGCTAATAGAATGCAGATAGCAATATCTGTTAAAGTGTAGGTGTCTTGGCATTTAGCCACCAATGCCATGAGGCAGCATGCCTCAGTTTCCCCATCCACACAGCAGTGTAGGCCTGTTATACTTCTGCTGCTGTGCCAAGCTCTAAGCCTGTTTACAGGTATAGGCTGAAAAGCAATATGCTTGTGGGATTGTCTTGTTACCATCCCTAGCATGTACAAAAGTTTTTTCCACAAATGAGGTATGTTACACATCTTTAAAAGGTTTACCATTAGTATTAACTCCCTTCTCTTGACCCATAGATGAAGAAGCAAAAGGCACAAGATTAACAGCCAATTTATGACAGATAGACTTTGTTCACACAGTTTGACTTGTTCAGTGTCTATTCCATTTTCCAATCCCTTTGTGTACCATGGTAGGTGCTCAGATACAGATTCTTCTGCCCCTTTGGATAAGGCTCTTAATTCAGGCATGTGTTTGAGGTTTTGGCAAGGAAAGGGTGCACTGCAACCCTGCCTGCCTTCAGCCCCTCCCTCTGGAATCTCTTTATGTTGGACCTCACCCCCTTGTGAAGCTTCCCAAATGCAAAGTTTTCCTTCTTCCAGACTTGAAGAGACAGTGTTATCTCTCACAAAGGCAGCAGGAACAACATTTTTCAATGGAGTGCTTTGGATTGGTAAGATCCCCTTGGTCACCCCATTCTCTGTTCCCAAAAGGTTAGCTGGGTGGACTTGCTCCTCCAGGAGATCTGACCCCCAGTCTTCCCTTAAAACCTGATCCATAGGTGAGGGGTCTGGCATTTTAGATGCAGATCCTTCACCCTCCTCCTGGGGAAAAGCCTTCCTACAAAAGGTGGGCGGTCCCTCCTGTCCCCTCATACCTTCCATCTGGACTTCCCTCTCTGGGCTCCCCTCTGAGGCAGACACTCCTGTGTCCCCTAAAAGGGAAGGTGACCCTTATCCAGCTGTGGGCTCACAGCTACCAGCTATGACAGACTTTTCACTGGCCAGAAAAATTCCCCCTTTCACTCAAGTTGGGCTTGCTTTCAGCTACAGAGCCCTTAGGGTCTGTTCCCACTGCAGCAGTCACCAGGACCCCAACTTCCATCTCCGGGATACATGGCTCTGTGCACCCCAGGGCAGGACTGCCCTGCTGGCCTGCAACTCCTGGCAGTCAGCAGCTGGGAAGGCCTCCCTGTTACAAGGTGGAACATCCCCCTCCCCCAGGGAGATGATCACAGGACAGGAGCTGGCTCTATCCAGCCCTTCTCGCAGGGATCTGCCTTGAGCCCCGGGGCTGTAGGAACTGGTTTCGACCACCCTGCCCCCAAAGCTGCATTCTCCACTGCTAGAGGAATTAAAGAGACACTCTCCTATTCCCCCAGCAGCACATGTGACTTCAGCCTCCCCCCTGGGGCTTTTAGCACAAGATTCCTTCTTGCTGCTAACAAACCCTGGGACAGATTCCGCCACATCGAAAAAATCATTTCCCAGTAGAAACAGTGGAAAATTATGTGTCACTGCTGCAACAGGCAGTTCAGCCTGCAAATCACCAGTTTCCATGTGTACCTTAGCTAAAGGTGCAAGGACTTTGTAACCTCCCTCCAATTCTAATTCTGCCATTTTCCCTGGTAACAAATCCTTCTCCTGGATCAGGCCCCTCTTGACTACAGAAATTTCTGCACCAGTGTCTCTCCATCCTTGGAGCACTTTGCCACTAAGCTTAACAGCATGCATATGCTCACTGCTTGTACAGGAGACTTGGGACAAGTAACAGGGGAATAGGGAGGTGAATGCTAAGCCTCTTTTTTCCCAGGGGTAAAATGGTGATTCTACTTTCCACCAACCCTGTACCCCTCTGCCAGTGGTTTATGTTTAACTGCAGCTTGTGACTGCTCGTAAAAGTCTGCAAACCCAGCTAATTCCCACACTGCACCCACCTTTTTGTCCCACAAATACTGCTTTACATCATCACTGCACATATTCAGGAACTGTTCCTGAGTAACCAAATCATACAATTCTTCCAAGCTTGTAATGCCTTTTCCCCTCACCCACTTGTCTAACAAATCTTTCATTTCATTTACATAAGCCATATTACTCAATCCAGATCCCCTCTTAAGACTCCTGAATTTAACCCTGTAAGTTTCAGGTGTAATCTGAAAAACTGTTTCAAAACCAGTTCCTTAAATTTACCATAGTTTGAAGCATCAGCAATAGTCATCTTACTGAATATGTCCAGAGCTCTCCCAGTCAATTTTGCAACCAAAGTGGTCATTTTTTGATCTTCAGGAATTGCATGGAGAGTGCACAGTCTCTCCAAGAGGATGAAATGTTTGGCAATATCACTGGATTCATCATACTACAGGCATAACCACTCCCATTTATGGATTTTTTGGGAAGTGGAGGCATCTGCTGAAGGGTTTTGTCTCTTCCACTCCATTACAGCCAGTTCATGCTTCTGGGTCTCAATCTGGGCCTGTATTTCTGTCTTTTAACTCCAGAGCTAGCCTCCTCTCTCTTTCCTTCTCCAACTGGGCAGCTTTCTGGTCTTCAAGTTCTTGGTCTTTTAGCTCCATGGCTCTTTCGTGAGCTGCTTTCTGTGCTTTAATTTGAGCCTATTTCCGGGCCTCCATGGTTTCTCTGGCCACAGCTGCTTCTTTGAGCCTCATTTCTGCCTGCCACATTTGAAACTCACGGTCCTTTGCCTTCTCTTCCGCTTCCAGTCTGGCCAACTCTAGTTTTGTAGCTGCCTCACTGGTGGTCATTTTCCTGCTTTCTTGTGCTTATTTCCCTCACCCGAAATAAACAAACAGAAAATAACAAACCAGTAACCACTTTGTCTGTTCTCTGGCCACCACACTTAAAACTCACTTAAAATCACTACCAGTGCCTCAAAGCATTCAGCTGTGCACAGATCCTGTCGACAACACCACTGTGACGGGTTTGGTCACAAAGACCCCCATGAGACTGTCACCTGACGTGCTGAAACTACCTCTGAGCCCGTTTTCCCTGTCAGCTTGGGAGTCCGGAACCCTATCTTGTTGAGTCAGACACACAAGCCTGCTGCAACACAGACCCAGGGTCTGAACCACGTCCCCAAAGCTTCAGGCTTTAACTGAAAACCACTCAGCAGGTACTCCTGTCTCCAGCACCCAGACACCCCACTCCCAATCGGATCCAAACCCCAAATAAATCCGTTTTACTCAGTATAAAGCTTATACAGGGCAAACTCATAAATTGTCCGCCCTCTATAACACCGATAGAGGGATATGCACAGCTGTTTGCTCCCCCACATATTAATCACTTATTCTGGGTTCAATAATAAACAAAAGTGATTTTATTAAGAATAAAAAGTAGGATTTAAGTAGTTCCAAGTAATAACAGACAGAACAAAGTAAGTCACCAAGTAAAATAAAACAAAATACGCAAGTCTAACCCTAATACATTAAGAAACAGAATACAGGTAAATCTCACCCTCAGAGATGTTCCAATAAGCTCCTTTCACAGACTAGACTCCTCCTTAGTCTGGGCCCAGTCCTTTACCCTGGTACATTTCTTGTTAGTTCCAGCAGGCATCTTAGATGAAAAGCAGGGGATTCCACATGACTGGGACCCCTTTGTTCTGTTCCACTCCCTTTTATAGCTTTGGCACAAGGTGGGAATCCTTTGTCTCAATCTGAGTTCCCTCCCTCCTTCTAAATGGAAAAGCACCAGGTTAAAGATGAATTCCAGTATCATGTGACCTGTTCACTCACTGGCACACATGTATACAGGACGGCTTACAAGTAAACAGAGTCATCTACAACCAATTGTCCTAATTAATGGGGGCCATCAAGATTCCAAACCACCATTAATGGCCCACACTTTGCATAACTACAATAAGACCTCAGAATTATATTTCATCTTCCTAATTTCAGATACAAGAATGATACATTCATACAAACAGGATGAACACACCCAGTAGATTATATGCTTTGTAATGATACCATACAAGAGACCTTTTGTATAAAGCATATTCCAGTTACATCATATTTACACTTATACACATATTTCCATAAACATATAGACTGCAATGTCACAATCACCTCATTACCTTCTAGGTGTTTGCAAATTGATTTCTTAATTATTTTCTCCATTATCTTTCCTGGTACAGAAGTTAAACTGAGTTGTCTGTAATTCCCCGGGTTGTCCTTATTTTCCTTTTTATAGGATGGGCACTATCATTTTAAACGTTTTAAAACGTTGCTTTTCACATCTAGAAAATGTCCAGCTACTGCCAAGTTCAGGTCACAGGATATGGTCTTTATCTCAATCTCCATAGCAACTGTGCTTCAGGGGGCTCTTTTATTCTCAAACAATCTTAGCCACAAAATAGCGTGAAGCCATTTTACATAGTGCTACCCCTGTCCCTCCCCTCATAAAATCACCCATTACAGGTGGATGAAATAATATACAAAGTCTGGACTTTGGGAAGCTGCTGTTGACAACCCTGTTTTAAATATGGCTCCTTGTGCTACTTTGTTACCAGAGTCCACGGAGCAAGGTAACATCAGTCTTTGTGTAAAGGGGCTTTTGTGGAATCCTTTTGTCACTGCTGAGCAGTATTCAGCTGCCAATAAATTCAGAAGTGACTGTTAAGGATGAGGTTTTAATTAATCTCTGATTGATTCTGATTTTAGATTAGACCCGCCCCCCAGTCACAAGTTGCCTCCCCTCTTTTAAACCAAAAACTTTTCCATGTGGAATTTCCTGTGAAACTTACAATTAAAAGCCACCTATTGGAAAAACTAGATCAGGTTTTGAATTACAGGAGAGTGAACAAAATCACTATTCCCTTTGTAAAAGAGCTGCAACCTCACTTGTTTGAAAAGGGCTCCAGCAGAAACTTGAAACTTGGCACAGACATAATCCTAACTGAGGATTAATACCTTTGCTTGCTTTTAAAAAAATATTTTGATTTAACGACTATATCACTTTTATCAGTCTGAGCCCAGTGGAAATCAACAGCTGGGCAGAAACAGATGCACCATACCTGTGTGTACTGAATTCGGGCTCATTGTTTATTCAGGATTTGTAGGGCTGGGGAGGACAGAATATCTGCCATGGAATGACAATCCTCCTTCCCAACTGGACCTGGGGTATGGCTCAGCTGTACAACCACCATACAGTCGCTGTTGTTTGAGGCTATTCTAGTGGTTGCAACATACTACCCTCTTCTTGCACAGTGGGTGTTTGTGAGCAAATCTGTGTAGTTCCTGACTCATGGCCCACCCCATGCTCACATGGGGAGAGTTAGCCACACTACTTTTCAGGCTCAGTGTGCCAGTGCAAACAGAGGCAGGATTTCCCCCTAAGTGTGCATTTGATTGTTCAAGAAACTTACGAGATCCATTGGCGACGGCATGGAGATGATTAGCTTTGCAAACCTGAGCAACTGTGGAGATAGAGGAGGAGGCTGGAGAACCTTGAAAGCTCTGCTACCCTGGTAGCTCCTGTTTTAAGGTTAATAAAGAACGAGTCAGACAAAAGTAATTAAATAAATAAGCTGCATTATCTGTACAAAAATGATATAAATACAGGTTTTCTGGGGAGGAAATCCTCCTTCTAGAATACTCAGCAACCCTCATCATCTTATGGGGGTGCTGCCAAGTCACAATTCATAGGACAAACATCTGAAATTATATTTATACGGTGTGAAAGGGACACAGTGGCCTTGCCAGACCTTGTCTCCAAGTGTTTATCCTAAGCACAGTTACACGGCTAATATCCAACATGGGATTGTCTGAATATGTTTTGCTATTAAAAAATGTAAATACTTCCCTGCAATGCTTTTCATTAGCTATTGTACTAGAAACAACCACCAAATTATTAGTAAGGAATTTGTCCTTCTCGTTCCATGCATAACTATAGTTTCACAAGTAGAAAAGCCTCTCCCCCCGAATTGTCATAGTTTATGAAGCAATCTGTACACAGTGAAATGTATCCAAAGTTAAATGAAAGTGCTAATAAAAACAGGAAAATTACACTATTACCACTAATTTTAGAGGAACAAAATTGCAGGGAGATCACAAAAAAGTCCCCAAAATAGTTTTTATCTGGACAACAATGTACAATTATTAATATTGCACTTTTTATACAAGGAATCCTAATAAATATACACAAAAAGATATACATTTACATACATAAAAAGACTTTTTTTGTTTGTTTTTAAATAAAAGTTACACTGATTCTTAGCAACGTGATTTCTCAGAGACCCATTTATAGAGAGAGTGTTCCCTGCCAGACACACTTTGGAATGACCAAACTGGAGGCAATTTAATGCAATGGACCTGGTGTTAACCTCACAAGAGAACTTCCAGGCTTGTTGAAAAATCCACATGTAAGGTAAGCTGCAACATATCAATACTTGAACAGTGTTTTATTACTGCATCAAAAGACGAGAGTCCCACTGGGGGTGATACAAGAGGCACAGCCAAACCTTACATTTAGAGATAGTCCTAAACCAAAACTCCGGATCTGGGCACCTCTCCCCTCAAACTTCGGGGAAGTTCAAATTCAAACTTTGTAGTTCAGGACGATTTCTGCAAGGTGCTGAGCAACCTGGATTTCCACTGACTTGAGGATGCCTAGCACCTTGAAGGATGAAGCACTTAATTTTTGATTATCGATGCAATTAGGAGAGAGAATCACAATGAGCAGGCAAAATCATGTTATGAATGTGAAATCTGACACTCACTTCTCAGCTCACCTCTCACTGTAGAGTTCTATTCATGGACTACAACTGCTTCACTTACTAGGGTCCACCTTTTTTGTGTGTCTTTTAGGAATCTGTGCTACCACTTTGGGGCCAAAGCTGATGATGTAGCATTCTGCATGTCTACGTGACAGAAAGAACTATAACGAATCAGAGCAGCTGAATTCTCCTTCTTGATAAATTAATAATTATCACTGGAGGATCTGGCTGTAATTGAGAGAAAAATTCCACACTGGCAGGACATAGAAATCATTTCTACAAATTCAAAGTTAGAAATAGACCAAAACCCCAGATCTGAAAGCCCAATAACTCTGGGATCTCAGGCTTCTCTCTTCCCCAGATACATTTTAATCATGTTAAGATGCAGCATGGTAAGTAGCTCTTGTTGCCACAAATATATACAACCCCTCCTATAAGTGCTCTGTACAGTGCAGTGATGGCAGGTATGCACGGTGGCCTGTCAATAACAGATCACTGTCACTCACTTTCCTTTTCTGCGTAATACTGTACTTCATTTTTTTATGTTGAGGGAAAAAACTTGGTGCACTTATTTAGATGTATTTTAAACTCATTCATGCTTTCGCACAATGTTTAACTTCTTTTTCAGATCCTAAGTTCTTAGCATGAGAGGGAGAGAGAGAACAGGAATACAGCTTTAGGATAGCAGTTTTAAAAAACCAAAACCTCACATTTATGTTAACAAACCCTTCTAGGGCAAATGATGTCTCTGCCCATTGCTTAGCTGAATGTTTAGTTCAATCCCTTTTTTCAGTAGTCCATGATCTGTCAAGCTGTTTGATCCATGCCCTGGTGGTCTGATCTGCTGCTAATGGGAGTTTTTGCTTTGGTGTTTTTCCCCATCTGCTGGTTGATGTGTATCACAAGGCCTGTACGAGGATTCCTAGGCAGCTCTGTTCCACTTAGGCCCGACATGTTGCTTGTCTTCTCTTTCTTTTTGGTCTCCCACCACGACTGTGCTTTGCTGCATTCCATCTCCCAGCCTCACTGAAGGGAAAACTTGCCAAGTCCTTTACAACAACGATTCAGTAAAGTTAAAAAATAAAAAATAAAAATAAATAAATAAAATGAAGAAAACTGAATTCTGTCCCATTTGTTTTGTAACAGTCCTTCCTGTAGTGAAGCAAAGGCTGATGCCTCTGATTCCCTATCTCAATTGCTCTCATCTTCATGCTTTTCCACAAGTCCCACAGCAGCGAGATTTGAACTGGGTGAGCTGGCAGAGTTTGAGCTGCTTCACCTTCTCACAGTACCTGGTGGTGTCTCTGCACTCCACTGGCAAAGGGGGAACAAAAAGGAGATGCAATGAAAGAACAGTGACTTACCTCCCAGTAACTGTGGTTCTTCAAGATTTCTTGTCCATGTGGACCTTCCCCGGAGGTGCACATGTGCCTCAAGAATCTACACAGACATGGGCTTGAAGAATTTAACATCCAGCGGTTGCTTTTAGACCACACAATCAGAGAGGGGAGTCCTGGGTTAGTAATAGTACTGTTGACAGGTTAGTGGGATACCTGAATCTTGGGGTTGTCATTGCACTCGTGGGAGTTTTGCTCTTGGGTACCCACAGGAGATATCCCTATTGTCAAGTTGGCATTAAAGATATAAATAAAATAAGGAGCTGCTTTTTTAAGAGAGTCGCTCTATGGCATCTTTATGTACTTTATTGGCTTGGGAGGTCCACACTGGTTGATCTGGAGCTTGGAAGCTCCGTACTGGCTAGTTCTGAAGTTATCAGGTGAGATTCTGTGCTGTGTTTCTAACAGGTGGAGCACTGAACTTGCAGCCTGGGGAGGGGGTTAAGCAACCTTTGCGCTGTTTCAAGGCCCAGAGACCCTCCCAATGTAACTCAGACAGCCCTAGGGGCCTGTCTCATTTACAGCAGCCACTTGGTGTTGCCCTATGGGCTGCAGCAGTGCCTGGAATCTCCACAAGGCTGTGTGTCATGGCCCCAACACACCCTTCCCCATGCCAGCTTGTGAGGGGATCCTCAGAGGGCAGCTTTATTGTTGTCTGCTGTAGTGCTGGTGCCAAAGGAATTCTCCCCTGGCTGGAGCTGTGGCTTTTAGGGTCCTTTTATGCCCTTTTATCTGGCAGAAAGGGGCCAGAGTGAGGGAGAGGGTCTCACGCACCTCCTTTAAACTCCACCTCTGACAGTCCTGTCCTCCCTCAGCAAGCCAAGCCATGCTCACTGTGTTTGGTCTGGTTTTACCAAGCATCTGTATTTGCCTCTAGAGGGGGGAGAAGGCCTGTAGCAATCCCTTCTGTAGTCTAGTGCTGCAGAGTGGTTCTGCTGCTGCTCCAGAATGCCCAGCCTCCGTGGAGATCCCCAGTGCTCAGCCTCAGAATTGCTGGCTGCACACTAGACTCCAGGTTTTGGCCTTTAAACGCAATGCTTCAGAGTATTTGGGAACCGTGACTGGCAAAAAGGTTGTGATTTACACTCATGCTGCTTGGTGAACACTGACATAACACTGGGCTTGGTTTCCAAAGAGGCACATCTGTTCCAGATCATTTATTCTTTCTGCAATATTTATAATGTGTGCGTTTTTTGGCAGCCCCAATTAAATGCTAGTCACCTGAAAGCCACTCCAGGAATTCCCAGCACTAACCAACTCAGCCGCTTCAGGTTTGCTTGATGTTAACATCAGCTAACTACCTGTTTATGACTTATTATTTCTCTCCATACCAATAATGGAAACTTAGGACAACACCTATTACTTTTAGCCCTATTAGCAGGGAGATGAGATCCCAACTCTTAGAAAACAACAACAACAAACAACACTGAAGCCATTCCAATAGGAACACTTGATTTTGCAGGCTGCAATTTGCCATTTTTCAGACAAATGTTTTCCCAAGAAGCCCAGCAGTGGGGCCCAACACCGCGCTCTGGGGACCCAGCTCTGTGGTGAAGATTCACAGATGGCTCCTTTCTCCCACAGGAACGTACTATTTTCGCAGGGGGTGATGTTGCAGCGTTGCCAGTTCGCAGGTCTTGGCCTCCAGGAACAGTAGTGCTCCGGCACGGGTTTGTTGGTGCGGACATGCACGCATTCCACTCGCCTGGACTGGAAGCCATAGTTCCCACAGGTAGCTGTACACAGAGTCCACAGACTGACCCTCCAGTGCACACCACAGATGTCTGTCCAGCAGTTCTGTGTGCTCAAAGGCCTGTTAATAAAAAGGACAGAGATATTATTATAATACCAGGCAGGAAATAAGAGGCTTAGTCACACTGGGTATTCCTCAAACACTGGGGATACTATGGGCCCTATAGCTCTGATCCTGAACACTTACTGGACCTGATCCACAGTGGTTGTAAACTAGCGTAGATCCATTGTCTTAATGGACTAGGTTGAGGCTCTGGCCCATTGACTTCAACTGGCAATTAAAGAACAGGACTCAAAAGGCCAGATCCTCAGCTGTTGTCAATTGGCATAGCTCCAATGAAGTCTATGGAGCTATGTATCCATTTACACCAGTTGAGGATCTGTCTCAAACAACTTTAGCACTCCTTCTGTCCATAAAGTAGTTAACAACCCGATACTGCCTACAGATCTACAGAGGAGTTGTAATGAACCAAGAAGTGGCTGATGTAAGCCACTAGAGCTTCATTACTATAAATGCAACGAACCTGGGTTTCAGATATTGTTGTTATGGTTTTACAAATGGCACAAACAAAAACCTGTGTTCAGAATCCATCCTTTTCCTTCTGTACACGCTATCAGCTAATATTCAAGAACACTTGGTGCTCATTTAGTTATTGCACAGGAGAAATATTGAGATGCTGCCAAGCAGTGCTAGTTGGGATGGCTTTGGCAATGTGAATGCTCATCCACTAGCAAAAAACTTGAAGGGAGAATTGGGGTTTCTCTGTAAAAATGGTCTCAAACATACATGGAGCCTGATTCTCCTGTAACTTGTACCAGCATAACTCCATTGACTGCAACAGAGTTATTCCTGAGAAGTGAAAGGAGAATCAGGCCCTCAAATCCAAAAAACTACAAAGGCAGTAAAATCTCTGGCCTAATTCATAGGTCTCTGTACAGAAGCATGGTTCTGATGATGAGGGATTCTGTAATACCTTGGCAGGGCACCGCACTGGTCAGAAGACACAGAATTCCCATCCCTGGTCTGGCAGAAAATCTGTCTGTGCTGTACAGCTAGTCGTGGTCCGATGCATGGCCCATTACACTGCGAAAGTAGAAAAAGGACACTCAGTGGCATAAAGTGAGAACATGCCCTGCTTTTATGAAGCCCTTCTTGGGAGCTGAGGAGCAGAGATGTATGTTGCTGAGATGCAGATGCTCTCAATCACTTCATAGAGATCAGTAGGTTTTTAAGTCCAAGTGCACAGTCTTCGTGTATCCCACGCAGCCTCCCCAAGGCAGTATTAAAACTCATTGCTGTATCTGCTCTATAGATTAATTCCCCTCCCCCTTTGCCTATTTCAATCTTAAATCCATCTGCTTGGACAAATAAAAAGCTCTCATCTTATTAGCCCAGAGCTTGTGATCCATACAGGAAATCTTGCTGCAGTCCCTTTACTGTGTATTTTACAGCTTGTACTATCACAATTTATAGCCAAATCGTTCATAGCAAGACTGAATCAGGCCAGCAATGTTTTTTTCTTTAACACAAAGATGTCCTAACTAATTCAAACCTGTCAGTCAGCCTCTTGTGGTTTAATTTGTTTCCACTCTTCCCAGCTTAAATCACAGAAAGCTAAAGGCATGAAGCATGTGACTATGGCACCATCTTTCATCAAGCTTATGAAACTGCTTGGTTTCCAGGCAGCCAATATCTGGAAACTGTTTTTGGCAGCGGGGGACTGCTGATTTGGAGATGGACGAGAAGGGACATGAATGTAGAGATCAAGGAGTTTCCATCAGTGCAAAGGTGGAGCAGGTTGCGATTCCTACCTGACACTGACCTGTGCCACCTCCCTACTGCCAGGAACCCTCTTCCGCCCTGGCATGCCCTCCTCACATCTGGTACTAGTTCTCAACCAACACCTGTACCAGGGTCCAGCAGAAAAGAGGAAGCTTGGTTGGGATAACAACAACTAGGGTGATTTGGAGTGGGGAGACAGATGAATTGATTGCAAGGAAGGGTGTTAAGTAGATAAGATAAGTAGACAGGGCCTCAGAAGGAGGAGAGGGAGTAATCACCAGCTTGGCTGGGGTCAGAGAACCAATTACGTGGAGAAAGTGGGATCGAATATGCTCAAATTCATCTTGAATGTCCACCAAAGACCTAAGTGGTCTACAGAGTAATACTCTATTGTTAGGCAGCCTAATGCTTTGGTGCAGACGCAATAAGGATAGCACTTCCCTGCAGACTGAAAAAGAGAGACGCAAGTCAATGCAAGGCTTTCCACAGGGGGTGCTGGCTCAGGTGCATGTAGGTATCATTAATTTGTGTACTTAGGGCAGGACTGCTATAGCTGTACATGCTGGCAATCTTCATCATAAACAAGCCTGAGTAAATGGGAGTCTTAGGGGGGATAGCTCAGTGGTTTGAGCATTGGCCTACTAAACTCAGGGGTGTGAGTTCAATTCTTGAGGGGGCCACCTAGGGATCTAGGGCAAAATCAGTACTTGGTCCTGCTAGTAAAGGCAGGGGGCTGGACTCAATGACCTTTCAGGGTCCCTTCCAGTTCTATGAGATAGGTATATCTCCATATATTTATTTTTTAGGGGATACGTCTTGATGCTTTGTTGCAGTATAAGAAAACACAGGCTGTGGAGGTTAAATAGCCACAGTAATCCACTTAAAACTAAATGAAAGAAGATGGGAGGTACAAGAAAATAACTCATTTTGGAGGGGTCTAGGTCATCTATTTATTTTCACTTTAGTCTGGGAAAGCTAATCACTAAACCTGACCAATATGAACCTTACGTCCCCCAGGGTGAAACCTATGAAACAATGGAGAAATGTCACTGATCCACAGCCAGTGGTCTGTTCCTAATTGTAATTAATGTAATTGTCTTGTAGACATGGCTTGGAACAGAGCTGTATAGGTTTACATGGAGCTTGAGAAATGCTTTTTTCAGGTAGGAGAAATATTATATTATAAAGTACAAAGGTCAGGTATAACAGATGAATTCATGCGTCTTTGATGATTGAGACTAGGTATGACATCATGGGGAATGATATAAACCACCACGGGTTACAACCACCCATGTGAGTTAACTGGCCAACAGCTAGTATTACACAATCCTTACCTGAAATTTCAAAGAAAATACAAATTGAGCAATTTGCTTCTCTGTTTTGAAAGAATGTTCAGCTCTTTACTCATAAACGCAGCAAAACTCTATGTTCTGAGTGAACTTTCTCCAAAATACACAGACATAGGATTTAATGAAGTTATTTTCAGTTAGCTAGCAGTAACAAATCTCATTTTGATGATGGCGCTGGGTGCTCTGCAATAACATTTGTCCCATGAACATTTCATAAAATGAGTTACTGACCTTGATGGAATAAAACAGTCAATGTTGTATGCTGTGTAATGAGTAGCTTTTGTCTACAAGGTTGTATTTAGTATATTAGTATATACACCTCTACCCCGATATAACACGGTCCTCGGGAGACAAAAAATCTCACCGTCTTATAGGTGAGACTGTGTTATATCGGGTTCGGTCCGGCTTCCCCGGGGGTGATTTAAAGGGCCCGGTGCTCCAGCCGCTGCGGGGAGCCCTGGGCCCTTTAAATCACTGCCGGAGCTCCGGCAGCGGGGCTCGGGAGGGGATTTAAAGGGCCCGGGGCTCCCCAGCCAGGCTCGGGCGGTGATTTAAAGGGCCTGGGGCACCACACGAATTTGGATATAATGCAATAAAGCAGCGGGGCTCGGGTGGCGCTTTAAAGGGCCTGGGGCTCCCCGCTGCTTTACTGCGTTATATCCGAATTCGTGTTATATCGGGTCACGTTCTATCGGGGTAGAGGTGTACTATATATATATGAGACTATATATGGTCATATCAGAAATTACAGAATTTATGTGGCTAAGATCTACTATCATATCACTATGAAATCTAACAAAATGAGATAATGTGATTTATTTACCATTGTTTCCACATTGACTTACCAGGCAGTAATCATGAAAAGCTGCAAAATATTTCACGGTAACTCAGTGTATATTGAGAATGAAGCCAATCTCTGCATGCACAAAGCTGACTCTGCATAATGTTTTTATTAGGCTTTTAGCGTGCTCCCCTAAACTTAATTTCCTTATTGTTGCCTGACTAGTACTGTTTAAGGATATTGATTTAAAAGTATGACCTCTTCAGATTTGTTATAGATGAACTGTTCTTCCATTGAAAACCTTTATTAATCCAAAAGTGATGTTAAAATAACAACATTAATATCTGACTTTAACTCATAACATCAAGTAAAACTAGCCTGTGGATTAAACTCTGGCCTTCACTTATTCCACTCTGCCCCTGGATGATTCATCATCAGCATGGACTGACCCTCAGACATTTGCATTTAAATATATAAGCCTCTTCTACCTAAGCTAAAACTCTCATCAGCCTGTACATGTGGCCCAGCTACAGCGGGGAGGGAGAGAGACAGAATACCACACTGACTGGGCATGGATTACATTCACAGCATATATATGCTACAATCCTTTCTGGAGATCTGCTGGCCCACACAGATCCACGGACAATAAGGGGATCTCCCATGGATCTCCCCAAGAGGAGGATTTCACTCATAATACTATGAATCATTCACTATTTACAGAACATCTTTTTAGTATCTGAGCACAACATGAAGCAGTAAGGACGGTGTTTCAGACTGACTTGTGTGGGATTCTTAAAATGCTTTGAACCCAATGTCTTGTATCATCATTTCAGTTTCCCTTACATAGTGGTTCAAGTAAATCCTGATTTTATGAGGTGTTAGGGGATATTCAAAACTTTTGTAAAACTGGGGGTTTGTTAAAAAACACACGACAGCCCAGAACAGGACCAGATATAAATGTTGCATAACAGACACAATCAGGGTCTGGAAATGTGTTTCACTGTGTCCAGATATATAGGTGTCAGCAGAGATAGCAAGGATTGACTAGGCCATGGAAACTGACCAATTTCTCCAGGTCATTACTGAGGCACATTGGCAGAACAGGATGGGGAAGGTTGAGCTGCCAATGTCCATGCTGCTCTGGGAGAAGAGGGAGGACTTTGCTCTCCAGGGTTGTGTCCATCACTACAAATAAATAAATACATAACAAGAGGCTGCAAGAAGAAGCCTCTTCTTCTGTGAAGACAGTCCAGTGGAGAGGAGTGAAGGGCCAGATTGTGACTAGCTCTTCTAGGGTGTACACAGGTTTGGGGATGGGAGAAGATGCAAGGAACTTTCCTCTGCTCCTTGCTTGCCCCAAGCAAAGATTGGTCACAACCACAGTCTTTGTACTTGGAGGAGGGCTGGGACTGTTCCCTCCAGATTGCAGATCTCCCCAAAGGAAATAGGGGAGAGGAAGAGGCAGGACCACATCCACCTTACAGAGCAAGCTCAGCACACACTGCAGGGGATAGGGAAAACAGGCCGCACCATCCCAAAGGATGCTTACTGCCCCATTGAGCACTGGGGAGCAGTTATGCCTGCCGGAGATGTAATCCCTCCACGAGCTCCCCCTGGGACAATGTGCCTCTATGCTCTAGGCAGTACCAATCTGGCACAATCTAGCCCTGTCTTTTAGGCTGCTATCTCTTTCATGAAATGTGTGAAGCTTGGTTATCCCAATCATCCAATGCGTTAAACAAAAGACATGAGTTGCCTCTTAAAAGCTCATACGATGCATTAATCACAGATGCAAAATCATTGCTCTCGTCTTCAGGTACCTCTTGTCACCGAACTGTACAAAGAAGATTTGTGTGTCTGTGTGGCTCTTACCTGACCCCAAGAGGAAGCCACCCACTCCATGCACAGCTGCCTGTTACAGATCTGGGTATCCACTGGGCGTTTGGCAACTTGGGCACATGCCTCATTTGACATGGGGACAGAACTGCCCATAGCGGTCAACCTCTGACATGTCACACGTCGGGTCTGGACCCCTCCACCGCAGCTCCGTGTACAAAGGGACCAGGATGTCACCATCCACCTGATGGGAGAAATGCAAAGGGGTCAAGGAGCAGTACAGAATTGCCAGAGGCAGAAATGACAGTGTCACAGGGATCTCATAACACAGATCCTCTGAAATCACAGAGGCCCTTGCGGAAAGCCAGCCATTTGATCACTTTGGGCTCAATCTTGGGGGATGCTGAGCAGCCTCACCATCCACTGAGGTCAATGGGAGCTGAGGAAATTCAGCACCTGACAGGATCACGGGCTAGGGACTAATGTTACATTTTAGTGCCTCTGTCAAGGGGGTTGGGCCCAGAATAGAAGCTATTCTATATTTTCTTGGCTCTGTTTGCAAAACCCATGTAAATACTTCTAACCCTGGGATGCAATATGGTCACTTTGCAGCATCATGTTGGCAGATTCTGGACCTAAGGCCAGTATTACAAGCCATGGGAGGATCAGCCAAATAAGGGGATTCTTCGGTTATGTAAAGACCACACAGCAGCTCCCACTCTCAATTTGCTGCTGACATAGATGCATGACTTGTACATCTCCAGCCCTGCTGACCCCTGGTCGCTCTAGTGGCTTGTTGGGGCCACTGGTTCCCTGGATAACTTACAGCAGCTTCTAGGCTGCTCTTACTGCAAGGGAATGGGCTGGTGCACAGCCAGGCAGGGATTGGGGAAGCACAAAGGGCGTTGTACCATTTTCCCTGAGCTGCATGGATGAAATAGAGGATCTGGCCCTATATGTATTGACTTTTTAAAAACACTAAAACAAATTAACAAACTAACATTTAATAAATAAATAAATAAATATGATATTATTAATAATATTATTATACTGGTCTACCACCTACTACTAACTGGGTAACAGATTTAGCTGGTTGTTCAGAGATCAGCAACCTTCCTCCAATCCCTGGATAATGTGAAATAGCCAGGCCCTCCCGCTTAGCTAGTCTGCAGCTTATTACTGGCTGTTAAAACTACTTTGTGGAATGTGTGAAAGAAGCGAGTCCCTTGGTAATCATGAATCACGGGCCATGTTCAGGCATGCACATTGCGGATAAGGGTGATGCTGAACACTGCAAGAGCTGGGCCCATGTGCCAAGCAGTTGGCACAAGGAGGCAAAGAGACTTGTTTCCCAGTGCAGTGGTGCGATATTTACCCAGATGGTTTTTGAAGAGAGTTTGGGGGAAAGGAGGGAGGGAAGTGATTATTAGTTCCAGGGGGAGATTTCTGGTCAAGTCAGGAGCTCTGCTGAACTAGGCTTCAGGCTACTTTGCAGGATTTATGTGTTCTGGGTGGCGGGGGGAAAGCCCAGCATCTCCCCAACCAGCAGCACCATATTTATGATTACTTTACAAAACAGGCAGTAGGTGCTTCCAGTCCTTTGGCGCTCTGATATTCAAGTAAAGGCATCCATTATATTTTCATTAATGCTCTGCTGACTGATTCCCACTGTTACAGAAACAATAAAATAAATAGAGTTCTTGGCAAGGACAAAAAATACGTCTCCACGTATCATAGAGTTTGGCAAGGTTGATTCTGCAGCTTCTCTGCCTTTTGTAAAGCTCAGCTCTGCATTTCAATCAACTTTTATTTCCAAACATACAGTTCAGCAGCTTTCTCGGGAGCCGGGAAGAGAAGCGTGGGCTGCATTATAGCTCAGGAAAGGGATAAAAGGACATAAATCATTCCTGTGGAAATATTCCCATCAGCAAGTCAAACTGCTGATATTAATGAGTGAGTTTCATATTTCATCAAGTCTCTCGTGGTTTCAGCTGCTCCTTATGACTCAGCTGGCAATCCAGAAAACATTTGCCTAAATAGAGGTGCAGGAACACATTATAGAAAGGTAATGAAATGGGAGCCACGCCGCCTCCCTAAGCCACAGCCAAAGCAAATGGCTGGAAAGCTGGCTGCTCTCTGCTCATCAGGATACTTTCTGATTCTCAGCTCCTCCGCTGGTGTCAGAAATTGTGGCCAGATTCTGATCTCAAATATATGAATGCAAAACCAGAGTCATGCTGGTGAAGTTACTGGAGTCACTCTGGATTTTAACCTGAAATTTGTAGTTTGGGCCTATCTCTAATTTTGATTTGTTAATTTTTGATTTGTTACAAATGTCCCATCACATAACATAATATTAATACTGATACAATTCTCAGGGGAGTCACTAGTTGGTGTGGTTACGCAAGCAACATACAGTCATTGAATAAATGGTATATTGTTAATTTTGGGATGCAGTTTCATTTGTGGGAGCTGTTGTAGGCAGCTGGAGAATTTACTCTCTTCCCTTTATCTCTCTATCTAAAGTCAATTCTTGGGGCAGAGTGGCTTCTTGGGAACTGAGCATTGGTGCTGGGGCTGAATTTCTGAAACATGGGTTTGCTTGCATGCTGTTTGTGATCACCTCTGTTTAGGGGCTGGTGTATATAGAGTATACAAAACCAGCCATGCTAAGGCTATTTGTACACTATGGGGACTATCCTGGCATAGCCAACTTGACAGGAGGATGCAGGAACACCACCTCTCCGAATGACATTAGGTACCCTGGCAGAAGCACACTTCCATCGACATAGATGCATCTACACCGGAGGTGGGTGTGGGTGGGGGGTTGGGGTTCATCAACATAAACATGTCAGTCGGGTGTGATTTTACACACTCCTGCCTGACATAGATATGCCTATATAACTTTGCAGTGTAGACCAAGAGTAAGAAAATAAACAGACTACACATCACTGATTTCCCCTCCAATGGAAAACTGACTTGCAGGGCCCTGAAATCTGCTATTGATTGGCTGAGGGACAAAAATACATATATATTATGGTAGTACCCAAAGGCTCCAATCAGGATCAAGATTCTCTTTCCTGGGTGCTGTACAAACAAATAGAAGGGCACGGTCACGCCCCCAAACAGCATATCTTTAGTCTGGAGTTGACAAAGATATGGTTAACTAATGAGCCAAAGAGGAAAATTCAGTCCCCTAGCCAGCCACCTATAATGAACAGCATTCTTGGGTACTGATCCTTCCTGGGAAGGTTCCAAAAGACCATTAGGTTGTGAACTTTGCTAATAAAAAGATGATAAACCACTTTAACAGAGGGAGTAGACATAATCTCTGCCATATACTGTGAATGTTTTCCCCAATCCACCACCATGACCTCTAATTTATCTGGATTAAGCTTCAGTAAATTTACTCTCAGATACAATTGTTTCCTGCACAGACATTAGAAAAGCAAAGATAACACGTTGTCCAAGGCAGAGTATTATTAAATGCCTCATAAAAGCATACACGATATACTACAGCGCAAAGACAAACCTTGAAGGGCAGTCTCTTCTGTTACAAGCAACAGGCTGTAGCACTGGCTTGGGCTTCTCTATGCAGTGGGATGCGTTGACCTCAGTCCTGTCCAGTAAGCACCTCAGCTGGGGTTGCTGCACTCCTTTGTTACCACAGGAGGCCGAACATGCCATCAGTCTGTCCGCTGACCACCAATATTCTGCCACAAGCACAAGACACCCAAATTAACATTTAAAAATCAATCGGAAAAGCCAATTAGTGGTAAAATATCAGTGATTGATGCCAAGGTGCTCCTGTCATTTTGGAGATGTTTTGTAAGATAAAAACAACGAGGAGTCCAGTGGCACCTTAAAGACTAACAGATTTATTTGGACATAAGCTTTCGTGGGTAAAAAACCCACTTCTTCAGATGCATCCCCAGTCCCCAAATCTGAAATGGTTCTTCAGATGCAAAGTGGGTTTTTTACCCACGAAAGCTTATGGCCAAATAAATCTGTTAGTCTTTAAGGTGCCACCAGACTCCTCGTTGTTTTTGTGGATACAGACTAACACGGCTACTCCTCTGATGTAAGATAAAAGTGACTCCTACAGAAATGCTTAAAATAGGTGAATTATGTATAGGAAAAGCATGTCACCCCAGGAATCATCAGGCACTGGGATACCAGCCTTAGACCGACCATCAATCCTCTCTGATAGGGCAAATTCTATGTTTTGGAACTCATCACAGTAAGGCATGGCGACTAAGTGATATGTGACTTCAGTGCTGGCTAATGGATGGTCCAGTAGTTAAGGTGGAAGCGTGCAACTCAGGAGACTAATTTAATTCTCTGCTCTGTCACAGACTTTCTGTGTGACTTTGGACAAGTCTCCGAGTCTCTCTATATCTCAGTTCCCAGTCTTTAAAATGGGAATAATAGCCCTTCCCTGTCAATGGGGTGGTGTGAGGATAAATTCATTCCAGTTTGTTAGGTCTCAGAAACTGTGGTAATGGGGGCCATATAAATACCTAAGATATATACATACCACACTGGGGAAACAGGACCTGGGGACTATTGTATCAGTCCCACGTGATACCTATCCCTTATGGAAAAGTCCTGCAGAATTTAACAGAAAATAAAAACCTTTCTACAGCTTTTTAAAAAATCATCCTGAGGAATTTAAAGGAGAACATCTCTGATACAGAAGAGTATAGGACACTTAAAATAGTATAGAAATTATTTCAATGTATATTAAATTCTATCGTTTTTTAGAATAATTTCTGTAGAACTCTATAAAATTTCTATACATATCCTTTAAAGTAATCCTGTTAAATTCAATAAGACTTTCCCATACTAGTTAGGAAATAAGCATATTATTAATCCATGCTGTAAATCAATCCTTCCATTCCTTTGCAGAAAGGCAGCAATCCACACACTAGATGTACTCCTGACAGAATTCTGTGCCCCTTTGGGGGTGAAAAATTCATATAGACCACATTTTTCTGTGCCCCCCCCCCCCCCCAGCAGAAAAACACAAAAATAAATCTGCCAGGGGACATGTGCCTCTGCCCCAGCAGCCCAGGGTGCGCTACTGTTCCAGCATGCCTGGAGCAGCCTCAGAGATGGGGGAAGGGGTTTGGGCGTGCATGCCTGTGTAGTTGATCACTGTCAGCGTGGGGGGTGGGCGGTGGGGCTAGGTGTACGTGCTTGCCAACAAGTGAGAGCGAGAGAGAGAGACTCTGTCCCTCTTGCTTGCTACTGCAGCTCACTGGCGTGGAAGGGTAGGGTTTTTTTTATTATGCACGAGGCATGCTAGAGGCAGAAATGTAGCAGCCTGCCTGTTAGTTAATTGATCTCATTCTCTGAGGCACAAACGTAGTAGCCCGACTGTGTAGTAACATTGTTAAAGTTGCTGTTGATGGTTAATTGATCTCATTCTCTGAGGCAGACATGTAGCAGCCTGCCTACGTAGTAACATTGTTAATGTTCTTATTGTTAGTTAACTGTTCCTATTCTCAGTCGATTCCCCCAAGAGCATAAAATCTGTGAAAGTTTTAAGACCCCAACATTGCCAGAGTGATGTAAATGAGCCTTATTATACATGACAGTAAGGGAATCCTCAGCTAGGAAGATGTATGTGCTTTCTTACTTTCTTCCTGTGCCAAAGTGGCACAATGGGGTTAGATTACAGCTCAGGATTTATTTTACTTACCCATTAAAAAAAAAGACCTTGAGGGCAAATAAAACATTTACTAAGCAATCAATAAAATGTCAGGACAATCAGAACCAAGCACTTCTCAAAGTACCTAGCCAGGTCCAGGACAATGATTAGCAAAACTGTATGACTTTCATGTATGAAAGTCTGAGCAATTTAAAATGACATACTTTATTTTTTCTGTTTGGTGTTCTGTAATGTAATTTAAATGAAAATCCAGAATTATAACTGGAATGAAGGGTATTAGTTACCACGGGTTTGTAACTTAACTTTCATGTGTTTAGAAAATGCTGTATAGTAGTTGTGACTTTTTTCTGTATTGTAGTTTAAATAAATTATCAAAAACAATTGAAACTGGAGTGATGCATTATTTTGACAAATAAATATGCAGAATTTTACAGAATTTTGAATTTTTTGGAGCAGAATTTTGAACTTTTTGGTGCAAAATACCCCCCCCCCCCGGTGTAAATCATCAGAGTTCCATTGAAGGCAGTGGAGTTACACAGATTTACAGAACCTGATGATGTGGTCCAGTGTCACTTAGAGATAGGCTCAAACCAGAAAATTTGGATCCAGGTTTCCAGATACCAACAAATTATGGTATATGAATTTCATGTTTAGGTTTGGTCCTATTTCTAATTTCTGCATGAAACAGTTCACTCACACAGATTAATTAGAGGATGATTGTAAAGCACTTTGAAGATGCAGCTTCACTTTCTTCAAGTATAGTGTGCTAAATAACATTATTCTAGGAAAACGTATCTAAATATAGAAAAGAAATCAATTTTGCACTTGCATTATCATTAATTCCTAGATGCAAGAATCTCAAAATAAAAACACTCAGTAATTTTGATTCATTGTACAAAGTTCTAGATGCTATTGGTGTCATGGGGCTGAAACTCCAATGCAATGCTTTCAAGGGACATAATTAATTGGGCACCAAAAATATTTCATGATTTCCTTTGAAAAACCTATCCTTAAAACTTTAACATCAAAACTTAAATTTAATGGAAATATCTACCCTCAAAGTAGTCTTTTTAAGAGGAAAGGAAATACACGAATCACGCATTAAAAGATCAACTAGTAAGATTAAGCAATTTTCTTTGTTAGCACCTAGAAGGGATGCTACCAAAATAAAATTCACATATTTACAATTAAAAACCCATTACCTGTGTTAATAACAAAAGACTCAGATCAGTTTCTCTCAATTGGTGGGTTCTGACCCCCCACAGGAGTGATAAAAGGCATTCAGGGAGTAGGCGGTCACGAGATGTTGAAAATATTATTACAATTTAAAGGAAAGAAACCCTTGCTCCCCTACTCCTGCCCACCCTTACTCTTCAAAGTCAAGTATTCTGTAAATTTTTTGGAAAACGCATGCACACACACACACACACACACACACACACACAAACATGATCATTTTTCTCATTGATACATGTTTCACTCTTACTGTTATATCAAATATAAGATGGTAGCAAAATTTTTGGACTTCAGATAAGGTGCTCAGCCTGAAAAGGTTGAGAAACACCATCATTAGGTTATTAAAATTGGTGGCTTCTAATATTGGCGGCCCATCCTGTGATGCCTATGTCCTGACTTTCAGATATGTTGAAAATGTACAAGTCCAGCTGAAATCAGAATGATCTGTATGTGCTCAACAACCCTGAAAATCAGGTCCAATGAATCTCAGTGTAGACCTCTAAAAACCAAGATACCCAGAATTATTGAACATATCTACAAATTCACTCTTAGTGGCGAAGGTACCAAAACTTCTCTTGGTTGCCGTTTCTTGTGGTCTCAGAGTGAAGGAATCCAGAATGATGATGAGCCAGTTAACAGCACCATCCTAGCAATGCCAAGATCTTATAAAGGCAGCAAGATAGAATTATTTTACCTCGGATTGTCAGAGATGTTTTTTGCATAAGTGAGCCAGCTTCATTCTGAGCCAGGCAGCTGAATTCACCTTGATAACCATCACTGATGTTTAGTAGCTGAAGAATCTGATCAGCTGCCAGGATGTTATGTCTCATGCTGATGGGTTGACCAGCATAAAACCAAGTGATGTTTGGAGTTGGGTGACCATCCACTGGGCAACCTAGAAACCAGGGAAGAGAAATAATAAGCCTTCTGCCAACAAAATGGGAATAAAATCATCCATGAGTTACCTACAGCAGAACATGGTGTTTTGAAATCAATACAACAAGGAAAAAAAGTTGTTGTTCTCTGATTTTCCCTCTTCCTCTCAATAATTAAAGATCTAAGAGATGTGTATAATGGGTGCCTTCTTATCAACGGAAAAACAGTTTTAAAATGGTTCATAATGCTTTGCATTTCCATAGTGTCTTTTATGTGAAGTTTTAAATCACCATACGCATCTGAGTGAATAATTCATGTTAAGCCTTGTAACCCTCCCGTGAAATAGGGCAGTATTATTCTCCTTTTCGTGATGAGGAAACTGAGGCACAGTGAAGTTAAGAAACATGTCTTTGGCAGAGGCAGAAATAGAACCCACATTGTTTGATGCCTAGTCCTTTAAGATGCTTTAAGCCACAGGCTCATCTTTCCATTTGTGATTTAATGGGAAAGAATTAGCATCCATAACAAGTGCAGGGATGTATATGTGTGCAGGTATGTGAGTATAAACACACACACACAAAACTTGCAAAGTCAAGCACTCAAAAACTAGGAAATGCTAGCATTAAGGTTGTCAGTGCATTTCCTAACTTTTGAGTGCTTGACTTTGCAGTGTTTATGTTCTTTTAACACAGTGCCATCATATTGACACCCACATGGTTCGTCCCTGACACAAAGGCCACACCCTTGCCAAATTTCAGGTCCTTGCTCCAAACGTGGGGGAGTTAGAGCATCTCAAAGCAAAGGTCACCAGAATTTTTTTTTAACATTGAAAAAAATATGCTCCCCCCTCCCCAACCTCATTCTTGGAATTGGCTGAACCATTTTAGCTGACATTTACCTGGACCTCCCCCCACCCAAAAGGAAAAAAATATTAGCCTGATGCAAACACCCAGCATCGGAAATTTTAGCCTAAATGTTTAAAGTTTACCAAAGTTATAAGAAACTGAAAACAGGGTCTTATAATGGAAATTATTGGGTAAACTTATTAATAGGCGGGGCCACCGGCCCCACATATAACATTCTAACCTATATATAGTTTTTTTTATGTGATTACAAAGAGGTCTCTCAAAGATCAACATACAGACATGCAGTTAATTCAGTTTTACTGTGTGTCTGCAAAATCAACTACCATGGTTTAAAATGAGAAAGTAGAAAGATCAACCCAATAACACGCAAGTACAAAGGGAACTGAAATTAACTACAATCCATAGCTGAGCTCTTTTGTTTCTTTTGCAGATTTTTCTGCCAAATAAATTAATTACTGCCCTTCCCATCACTGTATATTTTATTTGCATCATCTAGATTTCTTTTTCCAGATCTATATATAAAATAATAGGCTACGGGAATAGCTAGTAACCAATAATAGGGGGAAAAAAATCAACCTCCCATTCTTTCCATATGTGTTACCAATGAATAATTAGTAATTTTTTCCACTTCTAATGAAAAAAACCTTGCCTGTACCTATGAGGCTCGTATGTAATGGATATTTCCCATTTGTGTATGCAGAATGAGCATCAATCACCCTTCACAGATGATATATCCTACATGTATTCACTTGGACAGATGCATAAACTGTGGGATAATATGTTAGGCATATTTAGCAAAAATCAGACTGTAATGAAAAATATGTTCCCATAACATCCCTTTTCCCCTCTCCTCCCAGCAATAATATGAATACCATTTAATACAGATTACCAACACCTATTTTCCATTTCCTCCCAAACATGTCATCGTTGACTGTTTTATCCTTCCAGTGTTCACCACCTGCCCCAAGCATGGGATAAACAGTATGGGAGTGAAAAACTGTCTTCATCTCTAGCCAGTGCAGTTACTAAGGGGTGTTAGTACAGCAGGACTCTTATGGCGGGGAAGCAGTGTTTGGCAATGTTTCCTGACTAGAGAGAACTCTGGCAGTAGAAGACCCTTCTCTATCAGCCCTTCTTAACCAGTGAAAGAAAATATTGCTTTTAGGCCTCCTCTTCCAGGTCCACTGTGACTCTAAATTGATCTAAAGCCAGGGTATGATTCACAGATGTGAGAGATATTTTTTCTCTTTTTTTTTTTTGGAATTGCAAACAAAAACGTATATAAATTATACATTTTTGTGGGCGGTGGGACACTGGTGAGAAAGGGAAAGTTAATATTTCAAAGTTAGCAAAAAGGGCTTGGCCGGCAGGAGACCAAGGTTCTACAGCAATGCCAATGACTGCATGAGAGGAAAGAATAAATTAACACTGCAGGCCAAATCCTGTTCTCAGTTACACTAGTGCAACCTCATTGCATAGCTGTAGCTGAAGAACAAATCTGGGCCAGCAGCGCTAAAGCTAAGGGAACAAATCACTGAACAGACATAACTCCTCTTTTTCACCTGAAGGACAGAAACAAATGAATCCAGCCACACTGCAGTTGTTCACTGGGTGCAGTTTATTACTGCATATGAATACAGAGCTCCTTTTAGAAGCCTGTTACAATTCCCAGCAGAGCCCTATGGCCAGCAGTGGTGATGTCAGATGTAAGCCTGGCATTTGAAAAAAATGAATGGAATTTTCTTTAAAAAAACAAAAACAACCCCCCCAAAACAATTACAAATTGTTCTTAAGCTCCTGTGTCTGACTAACACAATGTTCTTTGGGATTCTTCTCAACCTAATACTAGTGCCCAGCAGATCTTTCTAATAGTTATTAGAGATTGGCCCAAAGTACAGAGTTCAGATACGGACCGGATGTGGGAGAAGGGGCCTCTTTGGATTTTGTGTTTCAGTTTGGGCCTAATAATGACACATAGCCTTTATGTAGTGGTTTTCATCCATAGATCTTAAAGTGGTTCACAAAGGAAGGTAAGTATCATAATATCCAATTTAGCAATGCATAAACTGAGGCAAGGGGAGGTGCTCTCCGCCCTCCATGCCTGGCTGGGCCCCCAGGACGGACCCACCTCTCCTGCTACGAGGCGTTGCGTCTTCCTGAGGCAACACGCGGGGGGGGGGGATGGGAGGAGGTGGGAGGTCACGCTGGGTCATGGCCCCCCTCCCCAGATTTCTCTCAGGGTTCATACCAGAATGTGGCCAGCAGCAGCCTTTCAGTACTGTGTGGCAAGGAAGGGATGAGAGCTGCTTCCAGCCGCCCGGGGCGGGGGGGGGGCAGGGGCGGAGAAGAGATAAGCTCTGCAAAGACACAAGCTAGCTTATCCCTCCCCTCCCCTACAGCCCCCCCATACCCACACCCCCCAGGGCAGCTGGAAGCAGCTTGTTCCTTCCTGCCTGCACAGGGTTGAAAGGCAGCTAACACCTCCAGGCTGCTGCTGGCCACTGACATAACCCAGCTGCCTCCTGTCCCCCAGCTATAGCACGGGCAGGAAGGCGTTAAGCCCTTACAATGCATTGTGCACAAGGGCCCAGAGAACCTGACTGCAAGGGCCTTCAATGAGGGTCAGAGATGTGGCTCACCAGGGGAGGGTGGGGATGGAGCAGCCCCGTGCTCCCAGGGGGCAGGACCCGGGGTGGGGGGGGAAGAAGGACAGGTGAAGAGGGTGCTAAGCCCCTGCCCAGGAGGCTGCTGTGGAACCTGAAGGTGTGGGGCCTGAACAGGCTCGAAATTGCTTCCTCCCCTGCCCCCTGCCACTCCAGAACTTAGCTGAGGGGAGGAGAGGCTTCCCTGTGCCAGTGCTGTGGCACATGGAGGGCTCAACTGCTTCTGGCCAGCACCCCAGGATAGATGGTCCCGGGGTGCCGGCCCAGCCAGAGGCAGAGGGGGAAGGAAGGAGTCTGCCGGCCAGGCTGTTGGTGAGCTGAGCACTCCGACCAGGGGCTGGTTCTCTGCACAGCGCTGGGAGGGGGACACGCCCCAATGGGGGAGATATGAAGGAGCAGCGGGGATGGGGGTGTGAAGGGACAAAGCAGGGAGAGGACAGCAAGAGGGGGAGCATGTAAACGTCTGATGGATGGGCAACAGAGGCGACACGTAGCCAGCCCCTGCCTGGCGCCTGCCCATACACACCAGCAGTTGCAGCTTGCAGCCAATGCTGGCCAGAAATGGGACAGGGGATGGAGCTGGCACGCAGCGGGGGCTGCACTGATGGACCAGCAGGGGGAGCAGTCAGCCCTGCATGCTGCATCTTCGCCCTGACACCAGCCTTGTACACCCACCTCCCAACGTCGACCACTGGACCCCCCACTCACAGCTGGTGGGTGAGCGGCAGGCGAGCAGGGATCTGTCCAGCAGCAGGACCCACCAGTACTGATGGGTGGTGGTGGTGGGTGGGGGGGAGGAACAGAAAATACATGACAATTAGCCCGTTTTTAAGAAAACTCAGGACACCTGCAGGAGGGCTTAAATACAGGACTGTCCCTTTAAAAACGGGACATCTGGTCACCCTACCCCTCAGCAACGTAATTAAGCCAACCTAAGTCCCTGTGTAGACCGCACTAGGTTGATGGAAGTATTCTTGGGTTTCCTACAGAACCCCTCCTGTCGCTGTAGTAAGTGTCTATGCTGAAGTGCTACAGTGGTGCAGCTGCAGCTGTGCTGCTGTAACGTTTTAAGTGTAGATACAGCCTAAACCTCTCCCTGTCTCCATAAAATAGATAAAATAAAACTTCCAAAGGAATATTGTGAGGCTTTATTAATATTTATAACATACACTGAGATCCTCAAAAGGAAGGAGTTGTGTAAGTGAAAATATTATTATTTTTCCCAAACTGTATGACAAATTAAAATCAGGCAGAATTAGCATGAATTAGTTTTAGCAGAGTAAAGCTGAGTATTTAGCATTTCTTAATATATACCAATACAGCTGATGACAACAGTAAAAAAACCTGGTATTTTAAATAAAGCTTTTATGGCACCAAAGGAGCAGTTAAAATCTATGGTATTAAGTAAATGACATGGTTTTAAACAGTCCACAAACACTTATCACAGAATCATAGGACTGGAAGGGACCTCGAGAGGTCATCTAGTCCAG